TTACTGGCACGGCCCAAGGGCCAGGCCGCTCGGTGAAGTTGAACCTTTATCAAAACGAGAGTTTAACAACCGACGTATCACAATATGATGTCTTGCAAAAAATGTATTAGTTAGGGTAAACTAAAGACTACCGTTTCCTCAAGACTCTTTTAAATGGCATTTTTTAAGAATAAAGCTCCTAGATTATTATCGTGATGCTTTTCGATAGATTGCAACTTGAGGTGTTTAAACATTGAGCAGCACTCCCAGAGACCATAGGTTTATTTGTCAAAATCAAAAAGAAATTTTTATAAAAGTAGTGTTTTTTTTCCCATCCCTAATATTCACCACCAGGCTTTTGTCATTCACACACACTATATCTACTTTATCCACAGTTCATCTTAACATTTGCATTAGGTAGAGCATTCTGGAGGTATTGCTTATATTTTGGAAAGCATAGAGGACTTTGGCATTTTGATTAGAATGCTAAATGGTATCGGATTTATTTAAGAAAAATTGTGATTTAAATATTTTTTTATAATTAAGGAATCGCCTTTAGTTCTACAAAGTTTTTTGTCATTTAGCTCAGCCATTTCCAAATCACGCGTCATCTTTCTTTATATCCCACAATCCTTTTGGCACAAGAAATCTTGTTAATGAGCTTTAGACCAGCTGCTTGCTTACGGTATCTTCTGTATTTTTGCACTTTTTCTCATATGTATTACCGGTTTTCCTAGTCAATGAAGTTAATGACTCCTACAATATAAGTTTGAACATCTTTTCCGCTGGAGTCTTCACAATCCTCTATTCCTTATTTGCCGGACAACCGCTGGGGAGTATTGGCATTTCTGGACCCAGTTTCTTTCTCGAAACAGTTATTGCACTTGTAGGTCTATCCGTAATGCTAAATTACTTACTTATATTGCAATGCTTGGAGAAAGAGTGAATGTCACTAATTTGCAACTCACTATTCTACTTAGTGTATTATTTCAATTGCTCTTCTAGTTTGCCGCGCAGGCGGGAGTCGACTATTGGGCGTATCGTTTTCTGACCGGACTCTACATGACTGCATTCGGCATTATTCTAATATCCATGAATCTTTCATCGATGGTTCTCTATGCTAGGCGCTCTCTTGAAGAGATATTTAGTGCATTCATATCCTTTTTCCTTATCTTGAAATCTACTTTTTCCATGTTTCGGGTAAGCGGTGGTGAATTACTTGAGTCAACTGCAAAAAACGGCCCTGTTTAATGCTGTGATTAAAGACTTTTTGCGTTTCTTTAGGCTGTGCCTCTAGAAATCTATCAACCAAACAACAACACTAGCGTAGACGAGTTGCAAAAAGCACTTAATAGCTCACAAACCGGTTCAAGGGCAGCCATTCAACTCTTTCTGGCACTGTGTATGCTGGTTTTTTCGCTTCTCATTAACAAATTAAAGAGAAGCCACCTATTTCGACGTACGGTGGGTCAAGGTCCGAGGGACCATTTTATGCTCATATGAAACGTCGTATTAAACCTGTTTTGCCTCTCTTAGTTCCGCTACTGGATCGGGGCTTTTAATGTGCCTTTGGGAATTGTGTTTGTCACCGCTCTGAATTACATCTTCTTCTCGACTTACCCCATAACCAAACTGGGCGTTCCACCGGCAGTAGAGGCCGATCCTACCACTTGGTTCGTTCTGGTCGATTTCTCCAAGATGAATACCCTTAATCGCTCTCCTGCTCTCGTTCATGGCACGGCGGTGGTTATCGGGTTCTTCTTTTGTCTTCTCATTTTCACGGAAATTGCCCTCAATAGGTGAGAATTTTATCGAAAATGGTGCCAAAGAAAATCAATCATACACTGAACATAATATATTTTTTACCGATGGTTCCAATGTTGGTACGGTTGCTACCAAGATCTCAGAGAAAAATCGGCCAACATGGGCCTGATGTCTTACCCTTTAACTGTAAAATTAATGATTTTTATTTTGTCTTACCTTTCCAGCCTAATTGACAATTTTTTTAGGCAAGTGTGTCGCATATGTGTATCGCGTGGGTTTTAGGCGTCAAATGTATGCGGCATTGATGATGAACGTGATACTTGTGCGAACTTATTTCCAAATTTTGTAAATATAGAGGCCCTGCACCTTGAATAGATACCTGTTTAAGAAGTTCAGTTTGCATGCGATGATAATGTAAGGTTACGGCAACATTCGAAGACTATTTTTAGATAACACCTCAATTTTGAATGCAAGTTTGAAATTTTTACGTTATTTTACACAATTTTATAGACCTCTTTCCAAATCTAATGCTTTTTAAGGTCAAATTTCCTCCAATTTGCATTGTAGTTCTTTGAGTGCCTTAAGTGATCTAACTTCGACACGTCATTATTGACCCTACCTTGACGTAGTGCCTCAGTTAACGGAATACATCCTTAATATTGCTGGTTTTTGCAACTTATCTGCATCTTACAGGTGGTATAAGAACTTTACCTTTGCTAGTTGTTTTAATTTAACGCACAGAGAGAAGTACGCAGAGACATGAAGCATCATCTTGGAACCATTTGGTACAGTGACAAACAGCACGAGGAAGGGGGATAAATCATTTTGGGCATGGTCTTAATGTTTTCTTGATACCAAAAGACTTCTTTTACGTCAATATTATTTGAACTTTGGTTAAACTTTCAATTAAGTTTTAAACAGGTAATAATAAGTTATAAATTGTTGGTAAATGAATCGCATTTTAGTGTAACATCTACTGATTGAAATAGTATGTTAAGAAAGATTAAACTGAATTATGTACAGTTTGAGTTCAAGTGAATTTGGAGAGAGAAGATTGTGCGTTATAAGCTTGATAACATCACGTTTATCCCCTCATCCAGTGTCACGGCCTTGAAGCCAAAAGCAAAGAAACCGAGTCCCTTTGTGATGGACCACGTGTTGACAGTTGTGATTTTTCCTCTTATGTCCTGCATTCTCGGTTGGCCGTTTGTATCGGGTGTCCCGGTGCGCACAATCGCCAATACAATGGCCCTTATCATAGTGGACCCTCATCCTCCACCGGGAAAACCTGCTGAGTAAGTCATCAGTACAGGCGCCCTCCCCTTATCTATCCTCTCGGCCCCCTGTCACATGCATCAATCATGCGATATGAACCCATGGCGTGGGTCCTTTAGGAGTACACTTGATATGCCACGAGTTTTTTGCATTCTCTAATTCTTTATGTCACCTTTGTAATCAAGATTGGATTTGTGTTAAAGGTGGCAGAACGAAATTTTTAACCAATAGGAGCATTTAATGGTTTATAGAGTATATTCATATTTACTTTATAACATCATGACAATTTTACAACCGCTTTTAGAAGGAAGCCTACTGTTTGGTAAGAAAGCTGAAAAATAAGGGTCATCTCAAGGCCAAGTAATTTGGTGTTTAGCACTTTCTAGTGTGCCCAAATAAACTAGAGGACCATTTAGCGACTATTCCAAAAGAGGATATTTTTCATTAATAGACAACCTTCAAATTTAACGTAGATTTTTTTCAAGTCGTCAGTTAATGGATTGTAAGAAAAAAGCTCAATGTCTTTCAGAAAAATTTCTCACCAGATACGGGGTTAGTTCTTATATATAGGTTGTTCAACACTTTTTCATGTTAAAAGAATGTTTTTGGTCATTTTGAACTAATAAGTTGTTTGAGATATGGATGAAAACAATGAACTATTCCAAATCAATCTAAAACTTTTAATAGACCTCTTCACTTATTACTGCCTTAAAAATGTGAAAATATGGATCTTAATTTAATACTAATGCGTTCTTGTGAGTTAAAACCACTAATTTACAGTGAAAGTACGTAAAATAAAAACACGCCATATCCACAAACAGTTCATACCTGCTTCTAAAACAGCACACATCGTTTACTCCATCGTTCCAGTTATTGTAATGATGAAATCTCACTGCAGTAATCGAGCAGCTGTGCTTGTCTTGGGAATTATTTAAAAGTGACTTGAATTGGTTTTGGAGGCATTACATATATGAAATCTCTGTTCCTATTCCCGGTTTTAGTACTACGAAACACTTTCAAAACTATTAGGAAAGGGGCTCTAAGGCTATTACTCTTTCAAGTAGGTTTGGAAAAGACCAGATAATATGTGACGCCCTGAAAATTCCCTCAAGACGAAAGAAGACATAGTACTCGAGCAGAATATATATACCCGATATCCAGGAGATCTTGGATCTACCGGCATGGTCCGAAGGCCAAATCACCAGGTGAAGGTACAATGGCAGAGCATCTAAGGACCAAAACCGAGGGTTAAACAAACAACCAAAGTATCACAAATATGTCAAAAACGTTACCCAGAACAGCAGTTTATAAAATTCCCAACCGCCAAGAAATGCAAAGATGTCGTAGCAATGAGTTTCCAATCCGCACGTGTAATATTGTAGAAAAACTGGCCACCGCAATTAAAATGGTTAATATTTGCTTCTATCTTAAATAACTTTTCCATCTCTATGATTATTAAAGTTTTTTTAGTCACACAAAGTGCTTGAATGCCATATGTCTACTTTTGAACGGCATGATTGTGTCAGTTGAAGATGACGATATCAGGAGGGTTCCCGTTCAATGGGTTATGGTGTACCTATGTCTCCAAAGCAGGGCTGAAGCGTACGCCTATAATGGTTTGGTTATAACTCTAGGATAATACACCCGAGGCCATAGGAAAGATCCTGGGGCATTTGTAGAATCCTAGTGAGCAGAATAATCTTGCATGTGGCTCACGTGATTGATCGTCTCGTGCCTTCATTCCCAAAATCACTAATTTATAATCGCCAACTTAAAAGAGCGGCGAGCTGGAATGATGATAAGTGTTTTTTTAGACTCGGAGATATCCTCGGAACGATGCATAGAATACTAGCAACGTCTACTGACCTATGATTAATCCCCACTCCTTTAATGGTTATTTAAAACGAACCTATTAATTGCATAATTATCATTTTGAAGGGGCGATTATTGATCCTATGGATAGTTCAGCCTTCCTAGACGGGAATTTCTCGATATGAATAGTGGGTCATTAGTGGATTTCATCAATTTCCCTATTACAGAATCATCAGCCTGGTGGAGCAGCGAGTGAGTGTGCTGATTGTGGGTGTGCTAGTGACAGTGTCCGTATACCTCGGCGATATCTTGCACCTAGTTCCAGTTGCCGCACTCTACGGCATGTTCCTTTACCTCGGGCTGATCGGACTGCGTGGACTTGACAGTGTAAACACTTTGACGGCCCTGCTCACCCGTCGCAAGCACTGGGGTAGGTGGGAGTTCCTCACCGACCTCCCCAAACCTCAGCTAGCCGTTATCGTCTCTATCAACTTCGGCGAATTGGCTATCCTCGTTGTCTTCATCATTCTGGCTGAGTTTACCGACATCAACTACGTCACTTTAGCTACTCCCCTCGTTCTCATTGGCTCGGGGCTTGTGCGCGAATTTCTTCTCCCCAAATGGCAGTGGCTGGCTCCTACGCTCGCTAAGGTTCCTCCCACCATGTGGATACTTGCCACTTTAACCATCTTTTGGGAAAGCTTTTTTCTAAAGGCACGGAAGAGCTGAGTTACTAGTTGGTTAGAAGACGATACTCATCCAACTCCTTCTAATAGTGTCAGAACTCATTCGCCCGTTGATTTAGAACCTGACATGCCCTACGATGCCTTTAGTGATAATTAGGCCATTGTAGCGGGATGCTAAAACCTTAAAATTAGTAACATTGAATGTCTGTGTTATGTTATTTTAAAAGCCGTTTTATAGTAAATATTCAAGATGCAGAAAACTGGCAACATGGGGGGACTTCATCACTGTTACGCACACCGTTTCAACACATATTATTCTTTTGCAGGCATAAACATGATGCACCCAATTTTCTTACCTTGAAGAGAGATATAAAGCGCTTACCTTTTTAATTACAGGCTTCAAATCACCGCATGTAGATCACAAAGCCTGAAACACTAACATAAAGGCTGCACTGGCAGCTTAAGTGGACTTTAGTTCAGTGGGAAGCAGTTCCAACGTCGTCTTATTAATCCTCATAAATACCGAAACAACGAAGGTAGATAAAATGGAAACCTTAGGATCTAAGAATTATTTTTTTTGAGAGCAAAGAATAAGACGAAATGCAAGAGGACAACTTCAGACTTAAAACACCAAAGAGAATCCAGCGAGTCTTTGCAAATGAGAGAAAATTTACCCGTTGTCAGCCAATGAGGGCATTGTAAAGCCAAGGCCCGCACAGTTCATAAGCAAGTGGATACAAAACTTTAAACTTCAAAGGAACCAAAATTTAGACGAAACTATCACTTCATTTACAAAAAGCATATCCAAGGGGTCATTTGATAAACTTAGGTTTTAAAGCCCATAGGCACTGGCAATTTCACGAAGATTAATTGGCAAAGATAAGGCCAAAAGAGGAGCCGTTTTATTAGCCATAAAATGAACGGAGACTTTTGAATGTTCTGAATGCTCACTGAGGTGATTATCAGTTTTCCACAAGGCCTCCAAAGCTTATGATCACGTACGAACATCCCTAAGACGGCCTACGAGAAAAATCCAAAACTGGTACCGGCTTATGTCATATTTTTATGCCGATCTTTAGTTAGTCAGTCATATGGTTTATTAATTAACTCGAAATAATGAAGTCACACCTTAGAGTGAATCTTTATATTCAATGATTATAAACCTGCATCTCTCATTTGGGAAAAATTCAATTTTTCGACCACCCATCTGTGCATAGCTATAGTGTGTACGGTTGTATATTTAACCTAAAAGTTAGCAACACTTTTTGGAGTCTCTTTAAGGTATTTCCAAAATTATGAAAATGTTCCTTCCGAACATTGCCTTTATATACCTGGGAAATATTCTATCGTTGCAAATCATAAGGGAATGACGAAATTCATAAAAAAATAGCCAACTTCAAACAGCCTAATGACCCTAGTTCGACCGTGTACAAGTGAAATATAACCTCAACTGATAAAGACATACCAGAAGCCCTGGGTAAAATCAACTTTTTACACTTGTAGATGGCTTTTGTTTAATGTTCAAAAGTCCTTCCTGTCCTTCCGTTTTAGTACGACAAGCGCTGTCTGCCTACGCATCCCAAAAAGACCGAGACGGAGAACAAGTCCGAGGTGTCGCTTCCAGCTAAAAATGACCGCCTCTCCTCTGTTGAGACGCTAATTTTCTGAATGATACCAACCTGGCTTTCTGCTAACACCCCGGAAGTCACGGGAAATGGTCTAGTCTTGGGGCCATCACCACATACCCACAGGCACGGAAACACCCATACACCCCACGCACAAGCACATCACACCCCATTACCCACGTCTCCTATGTGCTCTTTCACACCTTAAACTAGAGGGACCATTTTATTTCATTTATCCATTTTGTAACTTTACCTTCATACATCCTTGTACCATTTTATTTGCGTACTGTGTGGAAGAGAGGTTGCTAAGTCGGGTAAGCGGTAGGTGAGAGCAACAGTATTTGTACTCCTTGTATACATACTTTTAAATTTATGCAAATATTTAAAAGTGCACCTTGTACTGTATCCAAATTGACCGATAATGACATAGAATGCATAAAGGTCAAAGTTGACACACCTAAACTTTACAGATAGTTGTTTAGTCAAAGCACCTTGCACTTAGGCCTGGAAGGCCAGTTCTGTAAGGGCCACGTCAGACCACGGGCTTAGAAGGGTAGAACTGTCGCCAAACACTGATCGTTAAAATACGCATCTGTCCTCACCATCCCCTTTAACAATTATATCCCATGGTAGCTTTATCAGCGAGTTTCCGTGTAACTATGATCAAAGTATCCCAAAAGTGAAACAATTCCTGAAAAGAGGTCGAAATGCTTGATTGGTGTGAAGCAGAATGGGGTGATTTGGCAACAGGAATGTACTCGCTTTTATGATGGTCCGGTGCATAGTCAGTGAAAAATGGATGAAATAGAGTCAATTTAGAATGATTAAGGAATCATCACTTTCACTGCTGAGATGTCAGGGAAAAACCAATTACTACACCTTTTGTCTTTGTTTCGCTTCTCCATTCCAATCTTGATCATCGTCTTTTACTCAAATGCGTCACGCATGTTTAGTACACATGCATGGATAAGAAAACTAGAGAACCAACTATGCGTGCCACTGGTAGTGTACTTATTAAGGTGGTAGAATAGAAACTTTGCAATTATGTTCCATTTACGTTAAACGATTATCTAACTGTATGGAGATGTATCACCATCTTCAGCCGTAACTGAATGATCTCCTTTGGCGATGACAATAAAAAAGCATAGATAAGAAATGCAAGAATAACCATCAGAAGAGGGGAACCAATTTATTAAAAGTGACCAAGCAGAATACAGTTTACTGGGCATTCTTGTCCAAATGAATGAGCTATTATTAATTTAAGCAAAACTGTTGAACGTCAATTGATCGCATTATTGTAACAGTGCACCATTTTGATGCCTTTGCACATTGATCTGCGGGACGCAGTTTGGACTGCTACATTAAACATTTATAATAGGTAAAGATTTGCAAAGGCTATTGGCAATCACTTTTGCAGTAAGGATGCAGGCTTGACAAAGACACGCTATAATATAATACAGTAACCAAGTTCCTGCGCTGCCCGAGGGTTTCTTATAAATTGGCACTAAGATAAAGGGATTTTTTATGGTCTAAATATGTTAATTATTTAGAAAAGTATGTACTAGCAGAGGTAAAAGGCTCCCGATCATGTACCTTAAAATCAACCGCGTATTTGAAACAGACCTTCAGAACTCTAGGGAACTTGTTGCATCCATATTTGTAGGACATTTTTTCAGCCAAATACAACAAAGGCTGGTGTTTCCTGCAAAAGTGTGCTATGGGGATATGAGAACCAACACGTGCATTGTCGCTCTCCCTTTTAAACTTAAAATGTTCTCCCCACTGCTTTGTAAATCGAAAGTTGTGTCTAATGATACTCGTTTATGATTGTTACCTGAGCGGTTTGTCTGCTTTTAAATCCTTTTATATTAAGAGTTGTAAAAGTATTGTAATACGATAGTGGTTTATCCCTCGGTTCTAGTGAGGCGTCACATTTGTACTTTGAATTAGCCCCTTGTGCCTCGCTGGGTGGGCTAGTCTTTTGGACCATGCCAATGGCCCAGACACCTTCTTCGTGCTGAATATATATATATATATATAATCTGCCCGAGTATTGTGTCTTCTTTCGTCTTCAGGGAGTCTCAGGACGCTACAGTTTGGCAGTACTCCGTATTTACTCTAGACTATTTTCCTTTTCGATTAGAACTTGCTGGTAGAAGGGGAAGCAATACATATAATTTGAAGCCATTTAAGCCCTATTTTGTGTGTGTCCCAAATTTGTTTAAAACATAGAGTCGCTGGTTGCAAAATGTATTTGTTCTTAAAGGAAATGTTAGGGAGCTTTACTTCATATAAGTATGTGAACTTTAGTAAGTTTGATGAGATGTGTCTGCAAACTGCAATTTATTTTATTACTTTAGTTGTGCTTATGTGAGGAATTTGTTACTGGGTTTTAGATTAATAATGTGGATGATGCCCTGCGGGCAGATGTAGCCTGCAAATATAGTCAGCGTTACCTTGTGTGTTCAAACCTGATAATGTGTAGCGATTCTCTTCGCCATACAGATGAAAGTGCGTCTGAAGACAATGAGAAGGCCATTATTTTGTACAAAAATGCTGATGAAATTATGCGTATTAATGTTCTGCACAAAGGTTTCAATATACACAATCAACCCAAAAATTACATGAATTTTCGGACAAGTATTGAAGAAATAATATATCATGCGGTTAGAGCGGACATAGCAAAGTCGCCGTACACTAGGTTTGTTGAACTCACCCGTCATTAATATTTATAGCTTCAAAATTTCGAATAAGTACATATCTGTAATAAACGACTTCGATGTTCTTACAGACGCGCGCGTAAATTTGGCATTTGCCAATTTTATTACGTTTATCTAGTCTCTTAAAGCGCTAGTGAAGATGATTTTCGATTCTTCCATCCGTACTTCTACTGTCAGACACCGTGTTGGGGACCTGTTCCTCTTTGATGAATTCGGCATTGATTCGTTCATCCTAACCAGCTCTTCTTACGTAGGCAAATGTTTCTGATCATTGCATAGGGTCACTGGCCATGGCTGGAAGGATTTATTCATCGCCACAAGATTTATCTAAATGGAGCTGAATTCACTCGACACGCTCTGACTATGCGTGACCTTTATATTAATTTCCTCTATCACACGTATGTTCACAATTCTACTATTTCTTAGCGGAAATCTTTAGTGTTGGGCCGAATAACTCATTCGTTGGTGATTTGACACAAAATATAATTAAAAGTGGTTCTGGAAGTTCTAATGGCCCAGTTTCCAACCGCGCCAAGGCAATTGTTTCATCATCTCCACTGGAATTGGCGGCTTGCAATGTGCCGCCAAACTCTTCCTCCGATAACCCATCATCAGAGTTCAATCGAAATGCGGATGACTTTCTACGCTTGGCCAAGTGGAAAATCGATGACCTCAGTTTTCTTGTCGGTTCTGACTTAGCCATCTTTGGAACCAAAAATCATCCTTGCATCAGCTTGCGACTAAAGTGACTTTCGCCACACTGGTCATTTTACGTTTGACCGTACAATACCCGTACTGTAATTCCAACACTTTCCTTCCAGTTCACTTCGCGAACCGATAAATGTACTGACAGGCATTGACATGTGGCTGGAGAATATTCTCAACGAAGTGCCCAAGGTGGCGATGTGTTTCCACAACGAGGGGATCGTGATGCAGGAGTACGAGCTGTACAATACCACCGACTTACCCAAGCTGACGGGTTTCGATAAGGATCATATCCTCCGAATTATGCGTAACTTGGCAATGTTCCTCAAAAACAACGCCACACAGGAGGGTCACACCTATTGGCTTGTGAAGGAAGCTGGGTTTGATGTTGTAAAACTGTATGATCTCACGGTGCTTTGCGACAAGTCGAATGTTTCTAATGCGTATCATGACTTTGAGAGTGATAAAGAGGGAATTGAGAGTGTGGATGGAAGTTCTGGTGGTAAGTACTATGCTTTAATCGAATTTCAAACGTTATTAGGTGAGAGAATGCCATAAAATAAGCTTTTTCCCAACCTCGATAAAATTTGCATTTGAGTTATTTTTATAATACATTAATGATACGCGCATAAAGTGCAGTAGTTTTTTGTAAATTAACATACCTATTTTGCGAGTGCTATAAATTTCTGTCGACGAAAATTATCCCGATTTTTGAACACACCTTGACTACCACTATTTCTATTCGTGATTCTAGCAACAATGAAACCATGTAAGACGTTAGCGCTATGCTCTGTTGCTCTGAGATGTTGCATTATGCTACCACGTCGTATACTTCATTTTATCGTAATTCCTTGTTTTTGTTTATCTCAGGTGTTAATCCCTTTATCCTGCCGGTGGCGACCCTCTGTTTTAAACTAGCCGAGCACCGAGTTTCTCAGCGAGATCGATACCTCAAACAGCAAGCTACTAACCCCAGCGTCATTGTCAGAACACGTAATTCGGGGGCTGGACGGCAGGAGAGCATGGACGACTACTTGACCGACCTGCGTGCCTTCCTTACCGACGTTCTACGACTGCTGAAAAATTGTCTTAATCTCATCGGCACTATGGAGGAGGGGGCGGGTGAGGCGTACGAGCACAGTCAAGCCCTACCCGGCTCGCGATCTTCCTCGCCTGGCCGTCCACCGTCTCTAAGGCCCTATGCTGACCTCAAGTCGAGGGCTCTGCTTCTACTCTGTCGGCTCTATCTCTCCACCCCGCCTGAGGACATCATAGTATGCGCCTCTTTGGTGCTCAAGCCCACGCCAGCTGCGCCTGAGGTGGGTCGGTTGGTAATGTGGATGCTTACAGTTAAAGCTTTTTGACCTCGAAAACGACCTGAATTTGTGTAGACTAATATAAGCTTGCATAGGGGCGACAAAAATGCTAATTAGTACCTATTGCGATGAAGAATTCAGTTTATGATTGTGTTGCAAATCGGTTTCGCAAAAAATGGCTTTGCGTAGGTCTATATGCGAACAGTTTTGAGTGATCGAAATGTCAACGCATCCATGTGCCGCTTCCAGGGGTCAAGATGGTCTGTTATCCACAGTTCTGACTGATATGCCGGAGCTTTGAGTTGGCCGGCTGACAGAAATGCGTAGGTAGGATAAATAGTGCGTAGTTCATCAACGTTACATGTTTATTTCATTCACTCTTACTTAAACGGAACTACAATCGTTGCGAGCTGGGTGAATGGCAGAATAAGGTGTACGAATTTCGGAATGATTTCCAATGCCGATTTCTGTGTAAATCTTGTTTCATTCACGAACGGTTCTACTAATCTCCATATCGTAATTTCTGGTCAGATCCCCAGTCTGTTGTTTTCAAACTTGCTTTGTATATGCATATACATGACCAACTTCTAAATTTGATCGGAACTTTATGGGATTTGTCAAATTTAAATGTTCATGCTTGTTATTGGCTGATGAAATGGCATCCGGCTAGCTGAAATGTTGACCGACGTTTGCGCCAATAGATGGGTTATGCACGTGATGGCTTCACCACTGATATGAACTTGTACAACGAGGCTATGTCAGGCAACCGTTGGTGTAATGCAGGCAATTTTGTTATCGCTCTTCTTTACAAGCATAATTAACCGTGTTCCGAATCGTAACTGACCATTGGTATTTACGATGGCTATTCACCTCCCTAATCAGCGGGTAGAATTTTTTTGCTTCAGTGATTGATTGTTACCTTCATTCATCATGGTATTAAATTTTAAAAATTACTTCGGATTAAACAAATCATAAACTGTTCATGCTGCTTTTTACCTTAAGATAGAACAATATTTTTGTTATGGACCTGCTAATTTCACGCGCTATAGTCATGTTACTAGACGCACCAGTAAGCTCCTTACATCCGGTTGAGGCACAAAAAGATTCAACGCTTATTAACGTTAGAACAGTTTACATTCTGAGGATAACTAATAATTGATCATGTCTCGGCTAGTCGTGTAACCATTTTTTTCTCTAGGATTGAAATTTAGCACCATCTGTCACCAGAAAATGACGTAAATTATAAAATATGCCAAGTAACAGAGCTCCGTCGTGCTTTTTGCAACTAGTTGTGTCGGGAGCACGGATTCATCTCTGTCGACATATGAGCTCAGTGTGGGAATGGAGTTGATGTCCACAGAGTTTCTACAGCTTGCCGTATTCGTGTGGCGTATCCAAAGCCACAAACTAGAGAGGCAAAGAAAGTACATCAGCAATGATTTAGTGAAATATTAAAATAACATTTGAAAGAGTTAAATAGAAGTTGAATGTGAGTGCTGGAACCGCCCTAAATTCAAGAATATGTATTCCTTAGAAATGAGGTTTTGTGTGTAGATAATGTGGCGTCAGCAGTGCATCATCGCGAACATGTTTTACGAACATCTCATTTGTTGATATCACAATATTGGTTCTGTGCTTAGAATATTATGGCCCAAATGAAGGCGACTTTGAGGACACGTGTTTTTTTTCAAACCGATGAAGTTAAATAAGTGCAGAAGGCATTGCCGTTTCACTGATTGGAATCGATTATTGTTGTGAAATACACTTTGTGTCCTAGAATTTTTTGTTTATTACTCTCAGTGGCCAGATTTATGTATAAAATTCATTTGCTTTTGTTAGCCATTTTTTGATGTAATTCGGCTGTCATTATCATCCGTCTTATTTTGTATTGGCTTACATCTTTTTATTTGTTTTTAAATGATGCGTCGTAATTTTTCGGTACTTGATTTATTGTATTTGTCTCCTGAATTGTAGAATGAAAGCTGATTTTTGATTATTTAACAAGACTGACCATATTTATCCTCTATGTTCCGAACTATGGCGGATGATGCGCAACAGTCTAAAAGTATGCTTATCATTCCCATGAATTTAGATGGTGAGCGTGAGTGTGGCAGAGTTTGCGAAGGAAAGCGGTGCTGCACCAGATGTAATGAACGCTGTCTACCCACCAACTTCCACACGATCGCCACCACCACAGGCCTCTCCCGGATCTGTGCAGACGTCTCCATTGAAGTCCTCCAAACGTCGGACGTTACGGCTCGGCGATTCCATCATTGAAGCCTTCCGCTCTCCACAGACCGATCGCGTGTCAATCCTTACCACACAGGTAGATCGCTAGGCATACCTTGCCTTGAAGTACTTTTGCAGTCGTCAGAAACCTAAATTTTACTCGTTATTTGGAAGAACTAGCATCCAGGATATCGAGTTGGCAAGATTAACTTATTGTTTGTTTGATTTGGAGAACACTTTACAACCGGGTTTTATCACGACCATTGAATAGAAATAGGAAGCAATGTGGTATAAATAAATTTCGAAAGTACGGCGCGAACAGTCCATTGCAACTGATAAAGCACTGGAACACGGCGGTGACATGGAGCGATATTCACTAGGTCTGTCCCCAAACTACAATTCAATAGGCCGCTCATTATCGTTTCGTGTTCTCTCTGCAAAGTCAGATTGCCCAAGTTCATCGGTTTTATAACTGACTAGGAGAACTTTCAACAAAGTAAATAGATTGTATCTACTCACTTTCATTGAAAAGAATGGTAGAACAAGAGGCGGTTATTGAAGCCCCCAGTTGTGTAAACTTCAAACACTAAAACATTTAGCATTTTGGCATTCAGTATCAATTACACAAGTTTAAGGTACTGTTTCAAAAAATGACTTCTCAAATAACAGGGCCTTCGGCACCAGGTGAACCACAGTTCAAGGCTTCACCGGGCCTATCGCTAAAATTCGATTTACCAGAATGTGGTTTGCTCCTCAGCTGACCGAGACTCTGCGTCCGGCACTGCCGTATGTGGAACTAGGGCTTGATCTCGGCGGCAGTGGTGGAGGTACCAAGGCAGATGCCCCCGCGCTGGTGGCGGTGGCTGGTGGGGAAGGGACGGAACGATGGAAGCGGTGGCGCGCTCAGGCTACCGAAATGCTCCCTTTTGTGGTTGTCAAGCAGGCGGTGGTGCAGGCCTGTCGCCTGTGGTCGCGTGTCTTTCCCCTCGGCATTTCTCCCGACACCGTCACCCCCGCTAAATGTCGACGTCTTCATGAATGTTCTCAACTCGTTGTCTCTGCTCTTTTTCACCTCGGTAGGTCTATTTGTCATGCACTTGAACGGACTGGGCGAAGCATTCTCAACGTTTATTGATCATGGGGATCTAGCTGTTTGATTCATCTTTCACTTGGTGCTCATGGGTTAAACAACGCCCTATCACAAGGGCAAGTTACGTAGCTTTCTATTTATTATTGTTACTTAAGGCTGTGCGACTCACCCATTTACGTTGGTGTGTTTGCAGAAGCGCATGCTACGTTTTGGAATAGTAGAGAGTAGGGAGATGACAAACTCGATCGGCGTGCTGTGGGTGAAGATAATGTCTGTGGAAGATTGGGTGGATGGGTGTAAGTGTGCTTATGCAGCTGCATTCGAAATTGTAAAAGGATATTTCAGCTTTGGAGAAGACGAATAATCTTTGCTATATCCTCTAGAACACCTTGCTCCTCAGGGGTCTTGTCGTTTCTGCGGCCAGCAGTCACTGTCTGCGCCTGATGGCGCCTCACCCGCCTACCAACTCGGTGTATCCGCGCGTCGCTTCTTCGTCCACCTTGTCCTGGGTCTCCAAGAGGCGCGCAGTCGCGGTGCGAGCCTGCAGTCCATACCAGATGCGGCGGTCAAAGTGTCCAGGCGTTCTTTCCTAAACCTAACTCTTGCAAGAGTCTGCCCTAAGGCCTCACTTCTTTTGCTTCCGGTGTTGAGAGTGATGACGAGTGGTCTGGGCGGTTCTCTCCACGTCTGTAGAGAGGCTGACACATGTGTAAGACCCTCTTCTAACTTGCTTTATCTCTACTACCCAATCTGTGCTTAGAATGGCTAAGAATTTTCTTCAAACCTGCTGTTTGTCGTTTCGTTCCGTCAGCTAAACTGTGTCCAAGATTATAGTTATAACCTGAAGTTATTCAAGATCTTGTTTTATTTCTCCACTCCTTGAAAGACTCAAAAAAAGGAAGAAAAGCTCTATCATGTCTGTTGTTTGCTTAAGCTTTCAGGGTTATAAAAATTGGGTCCAACATTGTGTTGCATGCTGAGATCTATGTAGTGTCGTGCTCAATTTCTTTAACTCCTTTCCTCGCAACTTCCCTCTAAATATTGGTCCCTTTCCATTCAGCTTTTCATAACTGTGGACATTTCCTCTCTGTCATAAAAATGTTCAATTAACCTAGTTGAAGGTGCGAAAATTGGTCTCTGATCGAGGCTTTAGTATTTATGGAAAGTAAACTTAGAATAATTTTATCAGCGAATGCCCTCTACTTTCCTAAAATCTTTAACAAATTCATTTGAAATTTTGATAAAATCCCCCCAATCCGGGGTCATTTTTGTTGCTTCAATTTCATCAGTTGACTTAGGCTTGAGGCTCTGTTATCACAATTCCTGCGATCCTGAGGAGTGTGTAAAATCCTCTTTTAACTCCAAAAATCTAGGTTTGGACTTGACTAACTTTTTGAAGCAGTTTTATTGTCGTGAAGATGGACGTATTTGAAATTTTAATGTATTACTAAAATATTTTCCAGTTTATGAATGGCGGATTCTGGGGTGACTTATCAGACTAGCTTATTTAACCTTTTTTCATCTACCTTTTTTCATTGATACTGCAATTACTCCACTTTTTCATGGTCATGACAAGTAAATAGCTCCTTTGATCAAATAATTCGATAAGTGGGTCTCATAATTGTGTATGTTTAGGGTTGCTTTGCATATCAATGCCTCTTGCCACCTTACATTTCAGTTCCCAAGTCGTGATATGGTCGATAAGTATACAAAACGGCTCATTTAATTCGGATATGTTTTTCTGGGTAAAACATTTTTTTGATATTCGACTGGATTTAATTTGTAGGTCTCCTGAATTATCTCATTTCCACTACCCTTGATCTCCCTCATTCTTGTCAAGTGAGTCGGCAAAGCGGTTGATCTTTTTTCTTCTAGATGTACTCCATCCCCACTGCCTGCATGCTGAACACATGGTTGAGGACGTTGGATCTTGTAGTCGATTACCTTAATCAGCTCATACCCCTGGCTTTCTCCACTGCTGCTACTCCTGTGGCCGTTGACGACACCTCCCGCTTCCTGCCTGACATTCGCCTACCAAGCTACCTTTCATTCGCACTCAACGAATTCATGCTTGCGTTGCGTATCTATGGCTCCAATTTCCCTGACATGGAACCAGTGAGCTTTTGTCACCTTTTTTTACATTGATCAATAAGTTTTGAGAACTTTCATTCCTTTGCTTGCAATGCAATCTCTGGCACTACTACATCCATGCACGATTTCGTTAGCTGCGCATTCATCTGACTAGGCACTGTGCAGCTTTTCGCCGTCGTAATTTTCCCTTAATTTTTGGCTTTCTCACTTGGGGTCAAGAGTGCCCAGGTATGGGCCGTTTAAAGCGTTCGTGTGCTAGTAGCGTTGCCATAGTTTTTTCCTAGGTCGATTTTGTTATATAACGATATACTATTTTCCATTGTCTATTCTTTGCTTGCGTCTAATTTATCATCAGAAAGTACTGAAACTGACTACGTTGCACTTTTTTTTTGATGGGTAGAAAGGCTTCCACTTACATTTAGTTATAATCTGCATATCGTTGACTTCGGTAGTGTTATGGATAAGCAATTCCTTTTAAATAGTCAAACTAAATGCTCTCAACCCAACGATATTCCACGCATTCAAATCAATTAAATCAGTAGCGCAAGTATCATGGCTTCATAAGCTTCATCATCCACATTTGACACCCCTCTGCCTTCTCAACCTAAAAGTACTTGTTTTAAGTTAGTTGTTTCTTATCTTCTGGATTCACTTTTGATCCTTCTTTGATGTTTGCTAGGAACACATTGTAACTAGATAAGATTTTGTGGAAGCCGAAATGAATTTATCGGACTGTGTAACTTTTTCCCCCATGTTTACCTCGCGTGAATTCGTTTGAAGTCTATCTGAAATGCATACTGTGACTCTCATTTTACTCGTAGGACGCAACAAGACATGGGTAACTATAAATTACTCTACTGCGATGCCGGAACTGAATCATGGAGACGGCATCTTTTTTGCCTCAAGAAGGGGCTCTCTTCCAAATTAACGCAGACGAATTTGTAGTAGACCAGATTGCCGCTGGGCATTGGCAGAATTCGTTTCATCAACCCAAAAAAAGTAAAAGCTTTTGATATGCGCACGTTCCTCAACTTAATTGGTCGCAGTAAAAATAACTTGGATGGAAGGGATAGGTCAAATATGGGCAGTAATTTTTGCATTGATTTTCCTCTTCCCTACCATCACCATTTAGGATTCCGGTGTCACGCAGCACTTCACAAAGTGGCTAAAGCGCTTCCTTTATCTGCTTAATACGCCCATTTTAGAGGAGTGCTTTCAGCGTTTGCCCCATTCGCTGCAGTTGCTAATTCACTCATTGCGCTTCCAGTCGATCAAAGTAGCCGCCGTGAAGGCACCGGAGATCCTGCAGCCGTCGAAGGCCCTCGTCGAGGCCGAAGGCCATCCTCTCCCACCGATTTTGCAATACCTTGGAATGGCCATCGATGCACTTGCTCCGAGCTTCTCTGTGCTCAGCGCTACCGATCTGTGCTCCTCTCAGATCGATTTGGGTCCCTTCGTGAAGCTCATTCTTGACGTCTTGCGAACAGCCAACGAGTACTTTGTCTATGGTCTTAAGGAACTTGCAGCGAATGAGGTTCGTTAAATGCCCTCCTGCCTCTGTAATCCCTGCTGTCTTCAGTAATCAGTGACTGTCAGAAGTGACTCGTGTGGATAATGGCTTCACAAATCAGTTTTTTGCCTTCCCCTTGTTGCTTTAATCGACATATCATCGGCTTCTACGTTGTCCCTTGTTCTGGTTTTCGCCGGTTTTATCCTACTGATTAGCGACAGAAATATCTAAGCTGCCAATATTTTAAATAATATTTGTGCTTGAAAAATGGCAGTCATTTAAACCATGGGTTAGACCTTTTTTTTGCTGAATCATAAGTACTTTCAATTCGGATTCCGCCCAAAAGTATAGTAAATGAAGGTTTGGAGTTCCAAGCCCATCTTTAATATCTTTTTAGATAGGTGATTGTGTTTGTGTTTGCGTGAATCCTATCATGTTTTCAAGACGCTAGCGCAAGCGACAGATCAGAGTGAGATTAGTGACGTATTGGCTCTTTCCTTTAATCACTTTCATTTTAGGTGTTATTTGCCGATAGATTCTTTTGATATGAAACAGGTTTCTGCTTCGAGTGATTAACTACCTTAAGACAATTTAGATAACTAAGTGATTGGGATGGATCACCTCAATCACAAATCCATTGAAATTATCCAACAGCACTAGAAAGCATTTCATAGTCTTATGGCCTTTGACTCTATTTGTTGCAGACCCCAAGCCTTTGGCTAGTGAACAATATTGCATCGGTTCAGCACAAAGTGGAGAAACTGTTACCCTTTCAGCTGAACAATCTCCTTTCCACCGACCTATTGCAGCTCGGTGCCTCTAGCGCGCGGCGAAAAGCCGCTTCAGGCGACATTTGCTACCGACTGCTGCATGGCTATCTCGGTCCCTTGGACGTTCGTATGATAATCTCTTTCCGCCTCCACATGGTCAAAATTTCGGTCTTCTCGAAGCAGCTCGCAAACACACATTACTCCAATCGATTCGTGACCACCATCTCCGAACAGCTGAAGGTCTCTTTGACCTGGCTGCAACGACATCTCAGCATCTGCGGTGGCTGTGGTGATGCTGATTGCGATGACGCTCAGTTGAAGTACGAGGACTACAAACTCGTTATTTCCATTGTCACGGACATGGTTCTGATACAGAGTGTTCAAAAAGGTGAGCTTAAGCAAGGAGAGTAGTTTAATGGTCATACTATGTGAAACAAATAATTTGGTAAGCTAATACTGATCACTCTTAAACCACTCTTTAGACATACTCTCTGAATCTGGCATCCAGCATATCCTCCGCGATGCCGTCATATTGCGTCGTGTTGTCGATGCACTCCATGATTACCTTACCAAAGCTGAGATTGAATTGCTTTCCAAATTGTTGTCCAAGGAACTGCTTCCTCCACTTTTGCAGCTGGGTAAGACACTGTACTACCTCTGTCTCAGCCTCTATTTAAAGGTTTGCCAGCCTTCTGTCAAATCGTCTGTACGACGCAACAGGAAGAGAATGAGTGATAGTGGCAGTCGTAGTGTCGAAGCCCTGTATACTCTGC